GATCCCACATATGAGGGCCAGTGACACTGCCCTCTACAGCTAAGATGCTGAACAACAGCTCAACCTGGAGCTGAGCTGCCCTGAGTCGCCGGCGACAGCATAGGCTGCAGCCCCTGCTGATGTGGGTTGCCATGGGCTACTGTGTGTAGCCAGCAGCCAGCGTGAGCGGCCAGCAGCTGCAGTGAGCAGCTGTCCAGAAGCCAGCGACTGATCTGCTTTGCCTAGGAAGAGCACAATGATGGTGCCAATTTGGGCCAGTGAAGCAACGTCCTCCACAACTAGACTGAAAAACAAAAACGACAGCAACTTGTCTATTCCTCTTCCCCCAATTCCCCAGCGCTGTTCCCATCCCCCAATTCCCCAATTAAACAAAAATAAAGTGCCTATTCATATCCTTTGCACATTTTTTAATCAGGTTATTTGGTTTTTGTTATTGTTGAGGTACACAGATGGCCAACAGGCACATGAAAAGATGTTCGACATTATTATTAAGGAAATGCAAATCAAAACCACAATGAGATATAACCTCACACTTGTTAGGATGGCTATTATAAAAAATACAAGAAATAACAAGTGCTGGCGAGGATGTAGAGAAAAGTGACCCCTTGGCGCTGTTGGTGGGGTTGTAAACTGGTGCAGCTATTATGGAAAGCAGTATGGAGCTTCCTCAAAAGTTAAAAGTAGAACTACCTTATTGCCCAGCTATTCCACTGCTGAGCATTTATCCAAAAACTATGAAAACACTAATTCAATGTGATATTTATACCCCTAAGTTAATTGCAGCATTATTTACAAGAGCCAAAATCTGGAGAAAAAAACCTGTGTCCATCAATGGATGAGTGGGTAAAGAAGATATGTTTTATATATATATACATATATATATATATATATGAATGAAATCTTGCCATTTGTGACAATATGCATGGACTTTGAGCATATTATACTAAATGAAATAAGTTAGATACAAAAGACAAATACCATAAGTGGAAACTGATATGTGGAATCTGAAAAAAACAAATGAACAAACAAGACAAACAAACAGATAGATGCAGAGAACAGATTGGTGGTTACCAGAGGAGAAGGGGGTTGGGAGGTGGGTAAAATGGGTTAAGGGGATGAATTGTATGGTGATGAATGGTAACTAGACTTTTGGTGGAGATCACTTTATAGTGTATACAGATGTCAAATTATAATGTACACCTGAAACTTGTATAATGTTATATATCAATTTTACTTCAATTTAAATAAAAGTCTTTCTAGGAAACCACATCTATTTGAAACTTACTCAACCAAACACAAGACCCTGTTTTTCTATTAAGCATTGAGTGTTCTCCTTAAGAAGTATTTGCATTGTCTTGTTAACATAAATCATATACCTGGGCCGGCCGAGTGGCATGTTGGTTAAGAGTTGGCTTGGGATGCCAGCTCTGAGCTGCAGGGCCCTGGTTCAGATCCCACATGAGGGCCAGTGACACTGTGCTCTCTACAGCTAAGATGGCGAACAACAGCTCGACATGGAGCTGGGCTGCCGTGAGTCGCCAGCGATGGCGTAGGCTGCAGTGGGGCTGGTTGGTAGCGGGCGTGAGCTTTCATGAGTTGCCGTGAGCCGCCGTGAGTAGCCGTCCAGAGGCCGATGACCGACTGTCTCACCATGGAAGAGTACAATAATAACACCAACATGGCCAGTGAAGCAACGTCCTCCACAACTAGACTGACGAACAAAAGGACAGCAACTTGTCTGTTCCCCTCTCCCAATTCCCCAATAAAATCTTTAAATGAAAAAAAGATAAATCATATACCTTTAATCACATTGATGAATGATCCCACTGGAAACTGAGAAATTTATAGCAGAAACTGGTAGTTATTACCCAATAGATATTTCTCCCTTTCCTCCATATGAATAAAACCCCTAATCTTTGACTGGGTATATGGCTATTCTGAATTTTTAAATCCACATTTCCCAGCCTCCCTTGTGATGACAGCTGTGGTGACGTGTCTAAGTGCCAGCCAATGAGATGTAAGAAAATGTGTCTTGCAGCAGCTTTGGGTCTCTTCCTTAAAGACGATTGCTGTGAACTCTTTGCCCTTTACTTTGCCCCTTACTCCATCCTTTCTCCTGAAATGCGGGTGTTATGGTCACTATCTTGGAATACTAGGGTGAGGGCATTGATTTTGGGATGATGGAACAGTCAGTCAGCAGGAAGGAGTCCGGGTTTTTGTGGACCAGAGCTCTCAGTTCCTAGATTTCCTACTTTTGGATTTTTACAGATGAGAGAAGTAAACTTTTATCATGTTTAAGTCATTGTTACTTTGAGCCTCTTACTAATAGTGGAACCTAATCCTAACTGAAACGACAGAATGAAAATAATTCAAATCACAAATGATTCAAGAAAAATATACTAAAGGATTAGTACCAATTAAAATGTAAGTGCCTCAGTAATACTAAGTACAATACAGACCACGAGTTATAAGCTACTTTTTCCTCAAAAGCTCTTTTGTGAATGCTCCAGGTGATTTTTACATTTATGTCTTCTCTACCTATAAGATCTCTGGCTTCCTGCATGTAAGCCCATCCTATAATATATAGTTCTCATCTGTATAGCTCTTAGAGGTCCAGCATGATGGTTGGGAGGCACTAGAGTACAGAGCATAACAAGGAGATTCTGAGAATATCGCTGCCTAAATTTGAATCTTGACTCCTGTACTTCCTAACTATGTTATTTGGGGCTATTTACTTACTTAATATTTTTAAGTCTCAGTTGATCTATTCTTTGTCAAAGAGAGAGAATATGATATTCCCTACTTTATAGAATTGTTGGGTGAATTAAATAACAGAAGGTAAGTAGAATGCTTAGCAAAGAACCTGACATGTGGTAAGCACTGAATCAATGCTGTCAATGCTAGAATAATTGTACCTTGTAAGTGTTTAATAAATACTTGTATAATAAATTTCTATGAATGTATTGCCCAAGGAGATTAATTATTTCTTAGGCATTAAAATATAATCATTTCCTTTTGCCTGTCAGGAATAATCTGATAAATGTAATTTAAAATGAAAAAAATGAATTTAGACTAAAATGGAGAGTAATGATTTCTAGCTTTAAATTGATGTATCAGTTAGGGTCTCAGCAGAAAACAGATGACATCCTCAAATTGGTATAATTTCATGTGGGTTTATTTACAGAGGGATTCTTTACAGAGGTGTGAATTGATCACAGAGTAGTAGTTGTAGTATATCCTGGGCCTAGTAACACTGGCTGTTCCTTCCAGGCCATAAGGGACAAAGAGAGGAGGAGCAGGTGCTGCACCCCAGAAAGAGAGAATCCTGTAGTTGGCTACTTTGAGGGGAGCAGTAATCTGTAGAAGGGCAGAGCCAGCCTGAGGTTGCCAGGAGCAACTCAGGGTAATAATTATTTGACCTCCGCATCCTTCCCCTCCACCGCCTCCTGCAGGGGCTCCTCAGGGCCCAAACCAAACAGAAAACAGAGGGCAAGGAAGCCTCCGTGCAGTGTAGTCCATTCAGGTCAACTTCTTGGGCGGAGAGCAGGGTAGACAGGTCCAGTGGATCTGGAGACATGAAAGGGAGGCAAGTGTCATTAGCATGCCTTTGGTGTTGTGACTGTAAAGACAGATTGGTGCAGACTCCAATTGGATGTCATTTAAATACAAGCAGTGTGACCTTCCCATATTGATAGAATGTGAAAAGAATTCCTAATAGCCTCAAGAAGTAAATAGCTTTATTGACTATGTTGGTAAATCACATAGTGAAACAACTTGGGTTGGAGGTTAGAGGCTCACATCACATTTACGAATTAGCTAATATATGTAACCTGAATTCAGTGACAGGGCGGTGAGACCACCCCATTTGGAGGGCCTGGGCTTGTTATTCCTATTGGCGCAGCAACCATGAAAGAGGACCCTGCTTCTCCCTCAAGGTCATGCTGATGATGACCCTGGAAGTCCGCACTTCCAGACCTCATCCTCACAACCAACCTAGAAGACACCCCCAAATTGCTTGTATGGATAACCCCACATCACTTGAGTGTTAGTTCATTGTTTCCTTGGGTGTAAGTGACTTTTAGCTCCACAGAGATTTGGAATTAAGTGTAGACATGATTAACTAAATCAAACTCACCTAGTAGTATTATTTTCCAGTTGGGTCTGAAAATATAACACACTCATAAACATGTGTATTCTATGTTTATTTTTAAATATTTAGGCTATATTAGATAATTTGTTCTATTAGATTTGCTTTGTGGCCTGTTAGATTAGCTTTGTGATTCTAATTTTTAAAAACTTTTTATGACAGAAAATTTCAAACATGTACAAAATTAAAAAGAATAGTATAAACCTTGTGCCCATTATTCAGCTCCAACAATGATCAGCTCAGGGCCAATTTTGTTTCATCTATACTCCCACCATGTACCTTCTCATATATTGTTTTGAAGCAAATCTCAAGTAGCCTATAATTTCATCTAGAAATACCTCAGTAAGAAATGCTGAAAGAACCCTGTCCCTAACTCTAACCCTAACCCTAACCCTATCCCTAAACCTAACCCTTACTCTAACCCTAAACCTGTCCCTAACCCTAATCCTAAACCTAATACTAACCCTAACCCTGTCACTAAACCTAACCCTAACCCTACCCCTACCCCTGTCCCAAATACTATCTTTAACACTAACCCTGTCCCTAACACTAACCCTAAAAAAAAAAAAAAGAAAGAAATGCTGAAAGATATAGGCTCCATTTTCTCTAACATAACCATGATATCATTACACAACTGAAAAAAATTACAATGGTTATTTAATATCATTAAATATCCAGTTGACATGCAACTTTCCAAATAGCTCATAAATGTCATTAAAAAAAATTTTACTGGGGGGTTGGGGGAAGGAAACAGCGCTGGGGAATCAGGAAGGGAAACAGACAAGCAGCTGTCCCTCTGTTCCTCAGTCCGGTTGTGGAGGACGTTGCCCCACCGGCCCATGCTGGTACTATCATTGCACTCTTCCCGGCTGAGGCAGTCGGCTGCCAGCCATTGGACGGCCTCCCACAGCAGCTCATGAAAGCTCACACCTGCTGCTGGCCAGCCCCACTGCAGCCTATGCCGATGCTAGGCGACCCACAGCAGCCCAGCTTCAGGTCGAGCTGCTGTTCACCATCCCAGCTGCAGAGGGCGCAGCATCACTGGCCCTCATGTGGGATCCGAACCAGGGCCCTGCTGCTCAGAGCTGGCGTCCCAAGTCAACTCCCAACAAACGCGCCACTTGGCCGGCCCAAATGTCATATTTTTATTTATATAGTTTGCTTGTTTGAGTCAGGATCCAAATTAAATCCACACCTTTCATTTGCTTAATATCAATTGCTTTAAGTCTCTTTAATTTAGAAGTTGCTCCTCTACTTGCTTCTCTTTTTTTTTTTCCCTTGCATTTATTTGTTAAAGAAACCAGGTTGTTTGTCCTGTAGAGAATCCCACAATCCAGACTTTGCTGAGTACATCTTGGAGCAAAGTTTAATATGTTCTCCTGTCCCTTGTGTTTTCTGTAAATAATAATTCCAAGTTGAACCTGTCATTTGGTAACTGATTTAGGCTTGTGATTCTATGTCAAGGGTTGTAAAAGAATTGTATTGGGTTTGGAAGCAGGATTAAATATTCAATAGAAGGCTCAATACATTTAAGTTTTTTTAATTTATAAGCATTATTAAGTACTTGGGAATATTTATCTGTCAGAAAATTGAAAGACTAGAGAAGTCAGTTGAATATGTTAAGTTTATAAGTGCAACTTAATTAAAATGCTTAAATGTACCTTTATGAAAGGTTTTCTTAAGAATTTTATTTTAGTTGCTAGTTTCATAAAAAGAATAATAAGAATTGTAAATTGACCTTGAAAGCGTCAATTTACTGTTCAATTTACTGTCAATTCACTGTTCATTAAATTGAAGGTTAACCAAAAACTAATCTGTGAATAATCTCGTTGTGCTGGAAAGCAGCCTCAAAGAAACTGAAATACTCATATCAGCATAAAGATGTTTTTGCCCTCTTCTCTTAAAAATCATACCTGAACAACTATGAGACCTAGGATGGAAGTCAGCAGATGCAGGCATGGCCCCTGACTTGGCAGAGCATAGGAAAGTTAAGCCTGCAGATTGAACCAAGGCTCAAATAATTGGTGGCACCAAGTATTTAGGAAGAAGGAGTGAGGAGGGGGCTGAAAACTGATGGAATGTTTGAAAGTCGGTGTAAGGTTTGATTAAAGCTCAAACTCCACACCCATGAGCCCACCCTAGTCAGAAAAGGGAACCTGAATTCCAGAGCCTCTGAATTTAGGAACACCATAGCTGGAGGAGGGCACGGGAGAAGTGTCGACAGAAAACTGGTGAGGTGAGGCCCCTGGCTCCCTACTTTGCCCAGCTCCAGACATGCCAGCACCTTCTGTTTTCTAAGTCTGAATCACCCAATGTCCTTCCAATGAATTCCTTTTCTGTTTAAGTTAGTCTGACTCAGTCTCCATGCTTTCAACCAGGAATCCTGAATAAAATTTCACACTTATCTTGTAATAATTTCATTAATACATGTCTGCATCCATTCTCCATGAGGGTAATTCCATGTCTGATTTGGCTCATTATTTTATCTGCAGAATCTAGTACTGTGTCTGGCACTTAGTAGGCACTCACTCAATGTTTACTGAATAACTGAGTGAACGAAGCCTTTTTTGTATCTTATATATGCTCTTCACTGTATCTTAATGTTACAGTTGCAGAACTTACCACATTAAATATGTTAATTTAAATGTCTGTTTCCCCTATTAGAAAGTAAATTCAAGAGAGCCTATCTTGCTTATTTTTCAAACCCAGTCATACTAGGTAGGGGATGAAGGAAGGTGGAAGGAGAGAATATGTGCCAGGCATTATGTTACTGCTGGACGCACAGCAAAAAGAATATGGTGCTCTCTACCTTAGAAAGGCATGCAATATGGTGAGGGAAATGGGTGACAGATCATTATAGTGAACATTTGTTAGAACATAATGTGCAAGATGTTTTGTAGAGGATGGAGAAGGCTTCTCAGAAGAGGGTGTAAGACCAGTTGGCAGATGGAATAGGAAACCACACGGGAAAAGGCAGCAAGATGTGAAAATTATGGTGTTAGAGTGTAGGTATGATTGATCACAGGATATATAAAGCAATGTTGAGATTGTCCAGACTGTGGTCTAAGGTTGCCTTTGGGGAGTTGAGATGGAAAGAAAGAATAGGTTAAGAAAATATCCGATGGTTTGGTGACTAGAAGGTCAGCGGAGTAAGTTTTCTGACTGGTGAATTTAAAATAATGCACTGGGTCTGCTCAGCCTTGTCTCTTTCTTTCCTCTCTCTCTTTGTCTCCCTCTTCTTTCTTCTAAGTGACTGGGTGACTATGCCTAAAATTGGGGAGCTGGTGGGGGGAATATTAGTAAACCCAAATTACGGAAGACTTAGAGCTGCATTCTCCAATCAACTTCATTGGTAATGAAGCAGTGTTTTGATCCACATCTCTTCCAATTGGTTATAATTTCAGGAGGGGGAGGGGGGCTATTTATTGGTGAGGAAAGAGTGATGATAGAACATATATAAAATGCATTCACTTTAACCAGGCTGCTAAAATCATTAACATTATCAAGGTTGAGACACGAAAAAAGACGATTCTTGTTCTAACTAGCCTGGGAACTTAAACTTTATGAACTCTCCAGTCCTGTGTCAATACCTGGATATATACCTGGACATACATCAGACCTCCAGATAACCCTCTGATTACCCTCTCACATATCCAGACCACCTGACATTCATTATTCAGACCACTGTACATGACCAGACCTCCTGGTATTTACCCTCTAGACCACCTGGCACCCATAGGAATGGTAACCATCCTGGACCAATCCTAGGGCCAAGAATGCAGGACTGCTAATTGTCAAGAATGCCCTTTTACTATAAGAACTCTTAACTTTTCTTTCTTCTTCAGAATACTTCTGGGCTTTTGTTTGGCAACTTTAAGACCCCTGAATAAATCTTTATCATTTATTTCTAACCAAAACCTCCAGGCTTTTTTTTTAGTTCATTCAATATTGGCCTCCTCAAAACCCAGCAATCTGAAATACTGAACACTTGGGCTCATTTAAACACCAACAATCTGGAATATCTAACACTTGGACCAAGAGATTAGAACAGGCAGGAAGAAATATATGGGTATTGGGACAAAAGGATCTAGAAAAACAGGAACTAGAAAGTATAAGTCAAGGTTGTTGTTACAACCGTTTTTGTTTTCTTGAGCAGATCAAAAAATGTTGGACAATTACTGTCAAGCTGTGGACGCTTCAATGGGGCCTGGGAGCTTATTAAAGACACACAAGCATGGGGCCTATGACTTACACTCAGAAGATCTCAGGTGGGGCCCCTCCACCTGTATGTTTCACCAGCCTCTGGGTGATTAGCACTCTAAAGTTTGAAAACCTCTGCTCCAGAGTATGTGGGATTCCCAAATCATTGTACTCAGAAGCAAAACAAAGTTTTCAAAACATTTCTAATTGTACTGGAACCAGGTGGGCAAATTTCTGCAGAAAGCAAGTGACACAACTGAGAAGCATATGAGAAATCAACAGGACTTCAGAGAGGCAGGTGATGGGATGAAGAAAGGTGATGGGAGTGTACTGAAAAAGAAACTTAGGCAGGGCACACCAGGTGGGAAGAAATGGGGAACATTTTAGGCTGGGTAGGCTGAGTATGCAATCACAGGGGGAGTTATGCAGCGACTTCAGCCCAAGGACATGGAATGCAAAAAGTTCTCTTGGAAACCTGAAAGGGTGGCACACAGAGGCAGGGAAACGTGCCTTGCTTTCAGAGTTCCTGTTCCAGTCAGGCTTCTGGCCAAACGTCTTGAGTCACCACCCTCTGGAATCCTGTTTCTCCTGGGAACTGGCCTAGAGAAAGGAATGCCCCTTCCATCTACTTTTCTAAAAACATCTCAGAATCAATGATGGCCTCTGCAGAATGCCTCCAGTGGCACTGTGGGTAAGATAACATTAAAAAAAATGCTTTTTAAAGCATAAAGCACTAAACAAAGGTAAGCCTTATTACTCTGATTCTCCTGGGTCTCATCTTTCTTGAGGCCTTCCGCCTTGAGATAGTGCTCCTATGAACCTGGATGACCCAGCTCAGATCCTTTGTACAGGCTGGTGATCTGTTGGTTAACAGATTGTAAGTGCTCAGCTGTTTATGCTGAAGTCACCAATATGAGGCAGCAGGCGTCCCTTTCTTTTTTAAAAAATCAGTGTGCAATCTTTTCTTCCTCCTCCACCCACTTCCTCCCTGAGTCAGTGTTCATGAACCCTCTTCTCACAGATACTTCTGTCTTGATCGCCCACGAAACAGTTTTCTTATGCTGCAAGAAACAATGAGAGTACTTGCAAACAAATACTTCTGCCTGATGGCTATTGCTCATGAATCTCTATTAAACGTGACTGATCTACCATTTTCCAAATTGATCTACTGTGTTGTCTCTGCCAAGCATGAGACGGTTTGTGAAAAAAAGCTCCATTGCCTTCCAGGAATTCAAGTGGAAAAGTTTAGGGATGAACATAAAGATCCTGTGCTTTCTGTAAGCATTTACTTATGGATCATAAGTCAATGTTAGCCATTCTGAAACAGGCATTTGTTTTCAGCCTGTAATCATTGATTCATTCCCTTGACAGGTATTTTTGTAGCAGGCCCTGCATTCAAGCCCCAGGGATACAGTAACAACCAATATGGAAGAGATCCATGAGTCTGAGGAGCTCAAGTATAAATGTCCTAAGATTTTACCTACAGGGTAAATAGCACTTTTGCATCTGTTATTATTGGGTCTAAGTAGCAAACCTGGAATATTAGGTGGTAGGAGGTGGGGAAGTAACAGGAAGCAGTAAAATAATGTTCTGGGGAGTAAGATAGTTGCATTGAACAGGACTCCTCTAATGCCTCCAATGCAGCATTCTTGCTTTCTCTTTCCCTGTATCATAATTAAAAGTCACCTTGTACTATGAGTCCAGAAGGAGAAGAGACTGGAAAAAAACATGGCTGAGAGCGAGGCCTGAGGAAGACCTGAAGAAGACTGATTAGCTGAGTTTTGCGTCACATTGTTCAGCTTAGTGAAGCTATATGGTCACTATAATTTATTCAATACCACGAACCAGCATCGTTTTGCTGAGTTTTAAATGTATAATATCATTCTTGATCAGTGTTGAATGAACTCTGAATACCTCTTAGACTGTTGACATTAGTGAGTTGCATTCTTATTTTATGTTTTGAATAGGTTCAAAATCCAGAAGGTACAAGACAATAGAGTGAAAAGTCTTCATTTTACCTGTTTTCCAGCTGCCCAGCAACCCTCCCCTGAAGAAACCGATTCAATTAGTTTTGTGGATATCCTCATTTTATTCATATTTTATGGGTATTGTAATTAGGATTCTTAATCAGCTTTCTAAATTGAGAATAAACCTCCTCTCAGCCCTGTGGCAGCTTGTCCTTCTAGACTATATCCTGTTCTACAAGACTTTCATGAATCAGGAGTTTGGATTTTATATTCCTGATGAGTATAGTGTGAGCTGTTCTCAAGGAGGAAAAGAGTGGGAAAAACAACTAGAAGAGACATGAACATATATGTTTTAGAGTGTTAATACTCTAACAGAATTTCATTAAACCAATTTCTGCCAAACGAGGTTATAATGTCAAGTTTTAAAAATCTGGTTTCCTAAGGAAAACTATATCTGGTTCTATCAAGATTACAAAAATAATAGCCCTTGCTAAGTGCTATGTCATCTTCTAAGTTAAATGTATCATTGAAACTTCACAACAATCACAATAAAGTAAGAATATTTTATAGGTGAAGGAAACAAAGGATGGGCAAATTTTAAGTTTTTCAGATCTGGGCTGGGGCTCCAAACCCCACATTCTTAATTTGTATGATACTCATTATCCATTCCGATAGAGAAGAGCAAAAAGAAGGCATGTGGCAACATTTCTTGTTTATACATTTTGTTCATTTATTCAAAATCTTTTGTTCTCAAATTTTAGGACCCACCAAATTTACCCACGCTGTTTAAATGCAGATACCCAGGACTCAGCACTGACCTAGAGAATTAGCATCTCTGGAGGAAGGGGTCCAGGAATGCTTATTTCAACCAGCGCTTAGAATCATAGGCAGGTGACTCTCAAGCAGGTGGTTTGTAAGCATACTCCGACAAATGTCGTACCTGTGACAAGTTTGTTTTCCAAAGCTGGCCACAACCATATCTCCCATCACACACACACACACACACACACACACACACACACACACCCCAATAGTTTCTAGACTCTTGCCACTCCCCAAGTGGTGGTGTCTATGCCCTCTAGCTTTGAAACTGGGTGGGCTTTTGTGACTTAGTTGACCAATAGATTAAGGTGGGAGTTATGCTATGAGACTCCAAGGCTAGGCCAAAAAGAATGAGTTAGCTTCTGCTTCTGCTGTTGCTAGCTAGAACACTCTCTTGGAACCCAGCCACCACGTAGTGAGGAAGCCCAGGCTGCCCCAGGGAGAGGCCCATGTGGAAAGGAACTGACAGCCAGCACCAACTTGGCAGCTATGAGCTACCTTGGAAATGGTTCTGGCCCCAGCCAGGCTGCCCACACTGATGTAGCATGGTGCAGTGATGAGCCTTCCCTGCCCAGCCCTGGCCAAATTGCAGATTCAAGAGCTAAATAAATGATGGTGGTCATTTTTAGCACTAAGTTTGGACTGGGTTTATCAGGCAAACATAGAAAACCACAAGAGCACACTTCTAACCCAATATTCACTCTGCCTTTCTTCCGATCAGGGTGAATTCTTCTGGGTCCTCTCTAGAATACTCTGAAAGTATCCTTGCCCAACGTTAATTTACTTTCTCAGGTTCTTTTAATCACAGAACTGCTCATTTCAGACTTCTAGTTATTTTAAGCTCTCACCATTCCCTCTGATGCTTCGTTCATCTAAAATGTACTGGTAATAAGAAAGTCTACCTTATATGCTTTATAATTGAGATAATCCATGTCATCATTTAGCATTGTGCCCAGCACATGTTTTCTCTTACTATTCTTACTAAGTATCTTGCATTCATATTCTTTCTTTCTTTAATGTGCTATTTTTCTTCTTATAGCTCCATGCCATTTCACAGGCTATTTCCCATGCCTGGCATGCTCTTCCCTACCAGGTCAGCTAGACTCTTACCTCATCCTTTAGGACTCCATTTCTCTGGGAAGCCTTCTCTGATTTCTCAAGCAATTAATGACTCTCCGCACTCAAACAGTGTCTTGGAAGAATTTCTATTATAGCCCTTAACACGTTGGATTGTAATTAATTGTTTGTTTGTCTCTCTTCTCCACTGGAGTCTTAGTTCCTGGAAGGCAGGGTCAGTCAGCTTCATTGTATTCTCCTCCCCTAACATAGCACCTTGGCACATCTTCATTCATTCACTATATCTGTACTACTGTGCTAAGGAAACACTGTAGTTAAGCAGTTAAGGCCTGCCTGGGAATTAACAGATCCACTTTCTCCCGCATAACCTTGTAAAGAATTAGTTAACATCTCTGGGCCTCCTTCTTAAGATTGCTGTGAAGATGAAGTAAAATAGTATCTGCAAAACACCCCAAGCAGTCAGGATGTGGCGAAATGCTTCCCCAACGGTCTCATTTTCAGGCACTCCCCACTCTAATCCTCGTTTAGGGTCCCTGCACTTTATGGGTAATCCCTGTCAGGGATTTCTGGGCTCTCTAATCCTCTCTTTGGTCTTTCCTCTAGCTAGCTAGTTACTCTGCGTCACAACCTCCAGGTCCAGGCGTTTAGAGACCCTTCTTCCCTGCTCTCAACTATCTGCACTCTTGTTTTAGCCTTCCCCAAGTGTAAGGGGTGTGTCAAATAGATCCGATTTATGCGAAATTTAAACATCAAAACTCTCTGGCTGGAGTTTTCCTGAATAACTTGCAAGACCCACCGTTGGGAGCTTTGCTACTGAGTTTTGCTCTTCTCCTCCCTTTGAGGAAGGAGCGCGCGGAGACCATAGCGGTCCCCTGCAGCTCCAGCCCCCGCCGCGCGCAAGGCAGGAACGTGGAATGAAGAAACGAACGAATGAATGAACGGGCTACGTCGGCGGTCGGGCCTCTGTTACGTCGCCACCCGCACAGGCGTGGCCGTGGATAAGAGGTCCGCCGGGCGCGGGCTGCCCAGTCGCACCTTCGCGCGGCAGGATCGCTCACAAGCGCCGTAGGTCGGCGCCGCCCCGCGCCACCTCCCCCAAGTCCCTGCCCCGCCGCTGTGCGTCACTTCCGCCACCTCCAGGCCGGGGCTGGGGCGGGGAGTGTGGGGCGGTGGGGGCCCAGGTCCGAGGGAAGCCCGCTCGCGCCCGAACAGGGACTACATTTCCCAAGGGGCCTCGCTGGTGGTGGCGGCGGCGGCGGCGGCGGGCGAGGCAACGTCCCCCGGAAGTGGAGCCCGGGACTTCCACTCGTGCGTGAGGCGAGCGGAGCCGGAGACGAGACCAGAGGCCGAACTTGGTATCTGACAAGATGGCCGGGCTGCCCCGCAGGATTATCAAGGTAACCTCCCAGGCCGGCCTCCGGCTCCCTGCTCTGCTCCTTCCATCTTGGCGGATCGGGCGGCGCGGCCCCTAGCGTCCTCCCGCCCGCGGCCCGCGCTGGGAGGCCCGAGGCTGCACGGAGAGGGTCTGACCGCGGCGGCGAGGGAAGTCGGGCGCTGGGGAGGGGGCGCCGGGGAGACTTCCGGCCGCGGTGAGGCAGCCCTGCGGCGGGGACCGGGGGCTGCTAGGTGAGCGCCTACGAATGGGTTAAACCTGGCCCCGGCCCTGGTGGAGGGTGGGGTTGCGGGGTTCTGGTCTTGGGTGCGGGCCTCCGCGATCTCTCAGACCACCCCCGAACAGAGGCCGCGGGCGCGCGGGAATTGCGGCGGGGCCCGGACTTTGGGCGGAGGTTGTGGCCAGACACGGCCTCTCGGTCCCGGATCCCCCTCTCGGCCCGGGCGGGAGTGCAGGGGTGCGACAGCCCCAAGTTCAGAATGAATGAACCGGGAGGGTGAGGCCGGGCCAGGCCCTGTGCCCCGGGAGGGCCGCGCGTCCTGCCGCTGGCGGCACATCCTCACCCCTGGCAGCCGGGGTCCGAGGATCTGGGGGCTCCGCACCCGATTGTTCTAGCTTCCGCGATTTCCTCTCCTTTAAATACGTCTCCACTCATTATCTCTGCGAAGTGATTTTACTATGGTTTGCAAACTCTTTAAGAGCTGTTTCTGTTCAGAGGAAATAGTGAAACAAGACTTGGGAAGGGGGGCGCAGGTATGGGGGACCTTGTGAAATCGTTTGCCTTTCGATTTTGTGCCCTTTAATTATTAAGCCATTCTTCTACTTTTTATTAATACTATACTTTGACAAGCGTATATGGACCCATGAAAAATGCGGCATCTTGGTTTTGTAAAGTCTTTATAAATATAATATCAAGGCCTCAGATGTGAAATGTTTCTTGCAAAATTCACAAAACAAAACCTTGACATTTTTGGTGAGTTTTAATGAAGGGAGTTGAATCTGTGGTGCTCAATGTGCGAGTTAAAGTGACTAATTTGCATCATCATTTTGCTATAACCTGGTGAACGTCTAGTTAATTTAGTTTGTTTTAAAGTTCGAGCGAGATGCGTACTAAGTGAAGGACCTGTTGAAGGATGATGAACTGTGTAGTGCTTTGTGCAGTCGCAATTAAATATTATCTGAGGTGGGGGGCGTCTCTGACCTAAAGATGCTTGATTTAGAGGAAAATAGGACGTTTCTAATTCTTCGAAATTAGAGTAGGACGGATTGTCATTGTGTGCTGGAATGTAATAATGTGACCGTTCATAGTGAAAAATTTGTTGTACTGTATTATGGATTTGTCCCGGACCCTAAGGCAGTTTAATTGCTGTATGCATTGGAAGGTCCTTACAGTGTGGTTTTAGTTATAATACAGTCACATGGCTCCAATGGTCATGTTTATTGAGGCTGCCGTTGAAAATGAGGGGTGTAAGATAGAGCTGTACAACAAATATTCTCGAATTATTATTTACTGTTATTTAGGTTATCAACTAAGTACATAATACAAATTGACATTCAAGGTAATCTCCAAAATACATGGTGAACTAAAGACTTAATGAATATTTTTCCATTTTTGCTTGATTCTGGAGATATTTTGCAGTAACATGAAAGCCTTGGATGGAAAAATAAGTTCTATGGAACCTTGTTAAAATGGAACCTTTATGGAACCTATAAACTTACAGAAATTATGTAAGGCAATTAGCTGAAGTCCTCATAATTCAATTCATTTGGCACACAATAATTTAATTTACACTAAGTATTTACATTTTACTATTTAAACCAAGACAGTGATAACTTAGTTTTAATTTTACAGTATCTTGTTGATAGCATCTCTCTAATGAAAGGTTCTGTGATTTGGGTTTTATCTGGTAAAAAGTTAGGTAGGTGGTTAATGCTATTTATAGCTTAAAAGAATTGTTTTCTCCAATTCCTAGGAAGACTTAAAAGATAAAAGTGTTTTTTTCTAGTGCCCATGCTTGTTTGTATTATGTAGGTTTTTTTTCCCCCATAATCAGTGAAAATGTCTATTTTTTTAATATCATAATTTAAACAAAAAGTTTGCCTTTTCTCTGACAACCTTAATACTAGGTTCTGTGTGGAGTGTAATGGTGGTGGTAGCTCTACTGTCCTGAATGATGGGACGTTTACCATCTTTCACTGGACATCTATTAATATGGTGCTATCTCAAAATAGTCACCATTCACATTTGCAAAATTCTTCAACCATTTGATACCTGCAGGAATCCTGTGAAGTAGACAGTATGTTTTATAGTCTAGAAACCCATTGAAATGACTTTCCTAGGGTCTTAAAAGTGGCAAGGGTTTTGAAAAACTTGGACCATGACTCACTGAGACCTTCCCCAGTCTCTTGTTATTATGAAATGAAATAATCTATGCAAAAATATCCTAAGACCTGTAAGTAATTATACAAATATAAGATGATTTTGTGAATTACTCTTCACCCAGTTGGATTCCCATTTCAATCCAGTAGCAAATTCTGTAGGCTCTACTTTCAAAATGTATCCTTAAATCAGATACATCTTGCCATCTCTCTTAAACCATTGTTTTGTTCCATCCTTTTTTTGTCTGGCCTACTGTATTAGTTTACTTTTAAGTAGCAGCTGGTGTTCCTTTTTTAAAGGTAGGTCATGTCATTCCCCTGCTCAGAACTCTTTACAGTTTCTCCATCACACTTAGAATAAAATCTTGACACTTTTTTTTCTCTCCCTAGCTACAAGTTCTTTTTGCATCCGGGATCACCCTACCTCAGATTATCTCCTGCACTTGTCTCCTTGGGTTGCTCTGTCTCCTTGGTTCGACTGTAGCCGAACTGTCCCTGTGCTGTACCTAAACACTGGAACCTTGCTTGTTTCGGTCATCCTGTTATTGCATTGCTTTGTCATATTACTCAGTTCTTGGCTCACATGTCATATCCTCTGAAAGGTTTACCTTAAGGATCCTAAAACACAGTTTCCCTCCCCCGTGGTTTCTCTTTATCCTTATATTCCCCTTTATTCTGTCTACCACGTAACCAACTACACAAGTTATATTATTTACTTTTTGTCTCTACTCATACTGAAGCTCCATGAAGGCAAGGACGCTTGGGTGACTTGGGCATTGCTCAAATGCCTTGAACACATCGTAGGCATTGAAGTGTTGATGGAATGAATGAAGGAATGCTCCTCAGTCTCTTTGGTGTAGAAGGTTTTAGGAAAATTATTCTATATCATAGTTTGTCATTGTTACTGTGGATTATATCTGAACAGATGTCTGAGCTAAAAGTTAGTTTCTAATTCCACCCATAAATTAAAAACAAAACAGATTCATCTTTTATTGACAAGGAAATACATAGAGCACAACATTTGAAACATTCTAAAGATACATAGAGGAAAATTAAGACATTCTCACATGTCCTTCAGCCTTCCAGCTCCCCTCCCCAGACAACCATTATTTTTATTGTGTATCCTTTAAGAAAGACCAGAGAGACTTAGTAGATATATGTTAGGCCTACTTCCTTCCTCATGCAAATACTTTGATTTCCTCCCACAGGTGACTCATTTTTTAAAGGGCAGCTTTGTGGAACCTTGTGGTTAGACTTTAATTTAACTAATTGCTTGTTGATAACTTTTTTAGAGTATTCCTAAATGTTGCTCTACAAGGAATGATGTAATGAATAGTCTTATATGTAGTGGTATTTTGCCCATATGTGAGTTACACTGAAGCTTGGCAGTTCTGTGTTTAGCTAGTTTTAGTATTTTCTTTTTTCTCTCTTCCCTCCTGGGCCAAAGCTCTTTCAATATCTAAAAGTGTCTAAAGTCATATAGGTAAAAAGGTACCTCAAATAAGAGCTCCTCCCTAATCCATTTGTCATAAAGAAGAACCAGAGTTATTTTGGGAACAAATAAATGAGATCTGTAGTTGTGGCCTTGGTCAAAAAAATTTATTTTAGCTATACATGTTGCATTGAAAGAGTGACATTCCTTTGTCTTCTCAAATTTAATCATGAAAACAATAAAATGGCCTTAGGAAGCCATAGTTAACTTATTCAAGGAGTTTGGTTTATTTGATTAAAACCTACCAGACCAACCTTCTGAAGTTAGAATATCACCAGTCTTTCCTAAAATTTACTTTTCTGTTTGGTGAAGTTTAGTTTCAAATTCTTAAAAACCTAATATGATCTGACTTTGCATTGAAACTCGAGTTCTGTTTGTTTTTTGCTTTAATAATTTCAATTAAAAAAAATACAGATAGCATTTTTTCCTATCAGTATTTAAAATCCACTCATTTAATATGTATCTAGTACATAAGGCAATTTTTAGTAATAAAAGTGATTTAGAAAACTGGGCTGTTTTTTAAATCATGAAAATCTTTGGCTGGTGATATTTTCCCCCCTCATTTTAAAAAAAGGCATGACAAACTTAATGTGATTAAGATGGACTTATAAATTGTAATTAAAGCATCCTTAGGAAACAGATAAACTCATATAGTAAAAAATTTTACTAGAAACTGTGGTTCTTAGGTCTTTTGGTATTCCCAATGTAAAATTTTTCTGACTTTCTTCCTAGGACAGTAAACCATAGTTTTTGCATATGACTTCTGGGAATTCAGGCTCTTGTCAAGCTTATTTGTGAGTTCCTTTGGTCTCCATGGATTCCAGGTTAAGAAGCCCTAGGCAACTTTTGGTAATAATTAAACTTTCAGGTCATCACGATATTATTTGATATACTACCGAATGTTTTGATTATGAAATGTGGGCATAATTGAAATTAAGTTAAAAATAAGTCAGTTGAGTGTTATTTTTTAAGCTCCTCTGTATCACGCACTTTCATCAGTCCAGACTGATCAACTCACACACAATAGAAATTGAGTTTTGTCGAATTATCAAACACTTTCTGAGTATCCACCATGCTAAATGATGATATCAGAAATGTTATGCATTTGCTTTGCAGAAGTTCTGGGTTTTTCC